ACCATCAGTAAATATCCAATACTTATATAAATTATTACAGTTTAGCCAATCACTATAAATTCGGACAAAAATGATCATTTCTATAAGAAAATGATGTTTTAAAATATTAAAATTAATATGAATGATACATTTACACATCGCAAGGTGTGGAATATCACTTGAACTGAAAAACAAATCAATAATATTGGATAAAGTTCTGATCTGAAAATGTGGACATGAGAAAAAAGCTGTATTATTGACATAATTCAAGCCAATAACAGAATATATGAGATTTAGTTGTTCTATTGCAAAACTTTATTCATCCATGTATGTCATTAGTGTGGATCGCAGTGACACCAGCGCTTGTTTGGTTGTAATAAATCAAATTTCTGTAGTTTTTTGTAAAAAATGATTTGTTACGCTAAATCATAACTGTTCATTTGGTTATGTTTCTTAATTTATTATTTAAATGTAGATTTCACTTATTCTTTCATTCATGCGTCCGTGTGCTATTGCGGTGTGGCAACCTGAACTGATGCACGTACGTACGAAGTTCTGTGTTGTATCTGTTTGTCTGTTGATTAGATTCTAAGAACTGTATATAAAAATATTGTGGTTGATGATAAACAGCATAGCTTTTTTCAATACATAATCTAACATTGAGTGATTTTCACATTTTGATGACTAATGCCAACTCACAGAAAATGCAGTTTCTGGCTTTCTAGAAATCTAACAAAAGTCTGGACCATAGTAGAAATTCATCGATGTAATTTAATCATTACAAAGTGGGAAAACATGTCAACCACCGTGTTCATCCAGGATGAGCACTTCAGTCCTACAGGTATTCAGCCTATAAAGCTGTTTGTTAGAATAGCCAGCTTAGACACTTTGTGATTACATGGCAGGTGAAACGTTCTTCAGCATAAAGGATTAATCTAGTTAATGAGTACTACCCAGGACGAACGTTAGGCATGTGTCTACCTGTTCAATATACTATACTTAGCTAATTATAATTATTTATTGATTTGGCTTCGTTTATGCTTTTCTGTAATTACAATAAAGTGATAGTGTGTGCGCGCGCGTGTGTGTGTGTGTAGGTAGGTAGGTATTCAGAAGAATTCATTTCACATAGCATACAAATAATTTTCCTATTATTCATCAACAATAAATACAATCCAATCATATTATTGTTGTCTTCAAAAGAAATCAGACAAAATGTTTTTGACATTTTGCCATTTATTAACACTTATATATATCTATATATATCTGCATAGATTATTAATTTTTCCAATGAATTGCATCTGTTCATTTATAGTCTATGCTAGAAATTAATTCATTGCATTTTAATTCCTCCTATACACTGTAATAATATATATGATAATTGCTGTTGTTATTACTACTACTGCTACAGTGAATTATATAATTTCTAGTAAAAATAACATCAGTAGTATTTTTTTTTCTTAAACTTACTATCTACACTACCCTACACTACACTCCTACACTACACTACACTACACTACATCATACAATGTTCACAGACAGATTCAATGAAATGAATAGAAAGTGTACAGACAATAACAACAACATAATGAATAAAAAAAAGAACTCGCTAGTTTACATTCTTCCCATATTTTTTTTTACGCCAAGCATACTGGACACTAGGCAAAACATTTGTAATACGCCATACGGTTTACTACTTACTGATTAATAAACTAGTTTAATTATTTTAATCGGCAAAAAATATCATAGACAGTTAGTTGATTATTCATTCATTCATTCGGTTTCTAGTTTTTTGCAGATTGAAAATTAATTGTGATTACATAGTTAAATCATCCAAAAAAAAAATGAGTGATAAATGTTAATCTGTTAGAATAATAGTTGTTGGTATTTGGATGTTTAATTTCAAAGAAATTAGGCGCCAAATTTATATGGAATAAAATTTTATCTGTGAACATTTTGTTTGTTAGCGATTGGAATTTGAAAAATAAATGCCAACACCTATGATCTAGCAATATTGTCTGAACTATTTTAGGGTAATAATAAACAGGATGAACATTTTCATAGGTAAATGTTAATAGTTTAAGAATGTTTGGTTACAACAGAACCCTTTCATAATAGTCACCAGACTATAGGTTAAGCACACGTTTCGAAAGTAATTTAAATTTCTCGCCAGTTGTAGATTAGTGATTTAGCTCGTAAATAGATCAAACAAACAATTTTTTCACTAACATCTCTACGTTCGAAAAATTCCTAACTAAATACTAAAATGCATTATTCGTGTTTGAAAAAGATACGATTTCTAGGGAGAAATTGGACAAAATCGTGTTGGTCACATTAATGACCGGTTGATAGGGATATTTCACTTCTACAGGAGGTTAGTTCTGTAACGTAGAGTTCGGCTGTAATGTCTCTGTCTTGAAGACAGTGATTCAAATCCAAGTCGAAGTATCTACTCCTTTATTATTTAAGATATGCTTTTACCATAAGTTCCAACTAATAAAACATTATTATCCTAGTAACTGCCATTTTTCGCCTTCGAAAACATAAATTACACGATAGTTATGAAATGAATTATATACCCTGGAAATTGTTTAGTCTACATTTTTTTTCATATTTTAGTAATCCAATTAGTTCCTTGTTTGTTTGTTTTTGTTAACCTACACCTGTTTTGTTTGCAAGTGCTTAATAGAATAACATAGATTTAAGCCACAATATTACTGATACGTATATGGGTATAATGATCAGCGTCAGTATGTTACAGAGAAATATGAAAACTGCTGTTTTATGCTAATTATTTGTAACGACCTAAAAATTTAACCAGTGGACTAGTTTTAATCAATATTACCTGATGACGAAACATCTATACACATTTGAAATCATCAATCAATCATTGTTAGACCAGCATTAGAAACTTGGAAGCACTGGACTGCCGTTTCATCCTGGTATGGAACTCATCAGCAGTGCGCATCCACGACTCCTGCATCTCGCAGGATTCGAACCCGGGACCTTCGGCCTTGCGCGCGAACGCCTATCCATCGGACCACTGGGCTGGCATCCAACGGCGTTACAGTCTAACTCTTATTGATCTACAGATTTTTACGCGACCTCGTCCATTTTTCTTTGGTAGTTACTGCCTACACCCGACAGGGTTTGATTGAAAATAACGAAACATTTGTTTTTAGATGACTAAACATTCTTGAGCAAAATCATTCATCAGCTTTACAACAAAATATAACACATACTGTTAGCATTAAGTAAGTAAATAATATTGAAAAATATTTCGAGTATTATACGCTGACGAGCATTCAACCTACAAACTTGGGAGAGATATTAGAAACATTTCAAATAGTTATATTCGTATTAGTTAGTTTCATTTATCTGCAACTCATTATGTATAGATTTTGTTCATTGTATTCATCTAACTTATCAGTAATAATGTCATTTCATTGAAGTTTTAAATTTGTTTGTTCACTATTTTGAATAAACCAAACAAGACAAAAAAAACTGATAAATGTCATGAATTCGCATCAGATGTAAACCAGTAATAACCAGAGGGGATCGAACATTTGTAGCGATTCAGCTTAGGACATAAGACTTAAAGATTTTAAATCAGATGTATTTTTCATGTTAAACACATTATGTAGTACAGATTTACATAATTCCGTTAAGCAGTGGATAGTATGCCTAATATTTCTCTAAAATATTTATTTCATTACTTGTCTTCTCAAAACATACAATACAAATTTTTTTTATCTATTTAATACTAATGTATAAAGCAAGACATTTTGAAGATAAAGATTATCATACCGATGATGAAACATGCTCAGTGTAGAACTCAACGTTGATAACCTTTATTTCTTTGTAAAGATCTATGATGTTTTGCTGTAATAAATAGGTTATTAAGTAATAAGGGAAATTTAATGCATAAGACGTTAAGAAATGTACTTCAGTGTTTTATTGTTATGCCCGTCAATCGATATGCATGAAACTATTACGATTTCACCTTAGTCGGTAAACCAGAGCAAAGACCAATAATCCAGTGACACGATAGGCTACTCTAATCCGAGCGTCCTAAGACCCCACTAAGTAGAGAAAGAAGTCTTGATATATCGTATAAAGTGTGTTCTGCAGGCACCCAGAAATCGTGGTTCGAAGTTCACAAGCACACAAATCGATTTTATTTATACATGATCGAAACTTCGTTGGGAGAGCCATAAAAATAGCGTACTAAAATAACACATCAACTAATGACAGTCAAGGATTTTCCGAGTGGGAAATGTAATTTCAAGGTCAACTGATCGGTCCATGAATAAAATCCAAAATTAAGATCTTTATCAAGTGAGTTCTAGGGATCTAATGTCCCCAACATTTATCTTAATAGTTTAAGTAACAATGAGAATAAATTTTTAGAATAAAGGCCTTATATTCTCTAGTCTTCCTTAAAGACTCAAAAAGCAGGTTTATTTGTTAACACTTCTCGTTAGCTTTAACTTCATGGGTCATATAATCTAACCTTATATCATTCCTTTAATAGTTATGACTGAAGAATATTGATACTCCTCAAATAAGCACATCTCATAGTTTTACACACAAACCTTTCTATGATGTTTGGATAATATTTTTCGCTACATAATAACTACCTCATATAAATAATACTGTGATTTCTCTAGTGCAGTGTTCAATCTTTTATTTCATCGGTTGTAAACACTGAACCACAGTTTTGGATTTTCGTTTAATTTCTCCAATTGTTTTCAAGAAAACATTTTCACATTAGTGTTGACTATTAGTATACTGTGTATTTGTAAAAAAAAATAAATATCTCCATTTTCATCTATCATCAGTAAGCCTTTAAATAAAGTTAACAAATTACACTACGAAATTATTAAGAATATAGCAGTGGCATACTAGGATAATACATAATTGCCCAATTAGATCCAATCTACTCTTTGATTGGTTAAATTGTATTTAACTTGTACAGAACTAACTGTGAGCCATTTTTATTTATCACTAAAATGATTACGAAAAAATCGAGGGAAATAAAAAACAAGAACTAAATAGAAATATTCCAAAAATCATGCTCCATTTTGATGATAATCATTTCATAATAACCATTATACACATTTCTTTTTTCAATGATCAAGGATTTACATCAAGTTCGTGTCAGTGACGACAAGAACGATCAAAACACCGGTACCAGTAACAACAATCAGCCGAACGTCAGAAGTTCAGTACAATACAGACATTCAGCAGAATTAGCAGATAGTAGGACACATCGAAACTCAAAGACAATTTATTCAGCACATAGATTAAATGACAATGTACAACGAAATAGTTACATACCCAAGACTAATTTATCGCAAACGCAACAACAGCCTCAACTTGATTGCCATTTGAATAAACCACAGAGAACTATAAATATCTTCAATTCAACTGAATTGCATAATATTCCTGACACGAACACAGACATTCGGAATAGAAAATATCAACAACATGATTATGGTAATAATCAGTCAAATAAAGACAATCGAAGCTATTATGCAATATCATCATGTAATAATGGATCGTGTATTGGTCGAAACATTTTAGACAATCCATTGACTAACAATAAAACCACTACGAATTCTAATCATGGATTGACAAACTTTACAAATCGACCAGATAACCAAACACGGAGTACTTCTTCAGTAAAAGAACAAAAATCTGTCCATTGGTCTGAAGATTTAGGTAATTTGAATGTGATAATAAATTTTTATAAATAAAATATTATTTATCAAATGTTAATAGGTAGGTTAAAATGTTCATAGTATATTGATTGGATTGTCGAAGACAACTTCAAAGTTTTTTTGCTAAATCAATCAATCAATCGATAAGATTGAAGATAAAGTCACTGACTAAAGCTTATCTGTCTATGATATAGAATTCTATTCTTGATAAAAGCAAAAACATAATCCTTATTCTCTTATTGTTGTTGTGTGTGTGTGTAGTATGACTTGATTTTTGAAATGCATATCATTGATTTTTCATTGTTATTGATTTAACATGCATACATAATTTGAATTTCCTCAAATTTCGAATTGATTGAATATTTTCATTATTAACATATTACTGCACGAAAATCATTCGGAAGTTTACGTTCAATAATTCAATATTTTATCGAATACAAATGAATGGGTAGGGTAGAATTTTAGCGTACTTTGCATTGAATGGCTAGTAACAATAAATGGTTGCATACAGTAAAGCAGAAGACTCATTCTCAGATGGTGGAGAAAACTTGGAGCTTAGGTGGATGACTGTGGTGGTGTTTCGTTCTCTGAGCTGGTTGTTTTGGTTGTGGAGCTTTCATTGTTCTTCTTCTGAACAACATCATCAGCACAAACTTCAGATAGCAGAAGTGAAGCATTCGAATTTCTCCACATTTGACCTGTAGCTTGTTCTGCTAACCTCGACCACCACAGACTTATTCTCATTGAGTGAAAGTATTTTTTTTTATGTCGAAGACTTTTTAATGATATCGAAGAAATCAATTTATATTTATAGATTTTTATGTGATATACATTGTATTTCAATAAAATTTCTCAAAGATTAATTAAACTCATCAAAGTAAGCCATTTAAACACCAAAATGTTAAATGGAAATAAATGATAACAGTTTTAAGTAATAAAAGACGTAGATAACATTGTCTTCTTGTTATCCTAGTATCTTCTTAGTTATGCTTTCTTCCTTTGACCTTGAAATGAAGTAGTTTTAATCAATAAGACCACGTTTATGGACAAGTATGCGAATTTTTATAACATAATCACAGTAGTAGTAGTAGTAGTAGTAGTGGTAGTATAAAGTACAAAATGGCTATCTTTGACTTATAAGTAGCGAACAAATTTGACTTTGTACAATAATAACCTTGTGAATTATAAAACAAGCATGTTGATAACATACAAAAGAAAGAAAAGTTTACTCAATGTTCAATGTTATTTTTTAAATTTAAGTTTTACTTATTAGTATATGATATTTTCATCACCATTGAAGAATATTTTTAACTTTGTTTCATGTAAACTATCTGGTTTTCTTTTTTAAAATTCTTAATAAATAAAACTGAATGAAACTTAGCAAACTACGCAATTTGATTTATGCTGGATGAAAAAAAATCTAACAAAATGGTTATTTATAGACTGAGAAGATAAACATTGACTGATTTAGGCAATGATAATGAATATTAAAATTGTAGTGCAATTATGTCCTGTCAAAATGCGATAAAATTAAAGTTTCATTAATGTTTCAAAACATTGTGTTAAATTTTTACTTGAAAAAAACCATGGATTCACAAATCTAAATCAATATTAGTTCCTTGCTAATTTATGAATAAATAGGAGTTTCTCTGAAAGATAAATTTTATGTAATGTATTCAATATTATTTTTCATTTAGTGTTATAGAGATCATTATTCTTTTTATACATTGAGATCATGAACCAATCATCGTTAGACCATTATTAGAAAGATGGAAGCATTGGAGGTCGGTTTGTTCTGGAATGGGACGTATCATCCACGACTCTTGCTACTTTCAGGCTTCGAACTCAGGACCTTCAATCTTGCTCGCGAATGCCCAACGTCTGGACGACCGGGACGGGATCCAGCAGTGTTAACGTCTAACTCTGATCAATCTAGGTTTTTTTCGTGACTTAACACATGAGTTCCACACCAGGATGAAACGGCTGTTCAGTGGTTCCGGGTTTCTACTGGTGGTCTTACAATGATTTATTTATGATTTCAATGTAAAACAACGATCTTTATAAAAATATAATTCAAAAATAAGAAATGTGCTCATTAGTGACTAGCTTAGTGAGGAAATTCTCGGAGTTCTAATGACAATACGTGACCGGTGGAATTTATCACTGTCGTGTTAGGTAGTAACTACCAAAGTCAAATACGTGAGGTCGCGCAAAATCCCTAGATTTGTTGGAGTTAGACAGTAACGCCGTCAGATGCCGACCAAGTAGTCCAGAAGTTAGGCGTTCGCGCACAAAACCGAAGGTCCTGGGTTTGATCCCTGCGAGTAGCAGGAGTCGTGAATGTGTAATGCTCATGATTCCCACAGGACAGAGAGGCCGTTCAGTCCTTCCAGGTTTCTAATAGTGGTCTAACAATCATTCATTCATGATTTCTATATTCAAATCAGCTATCAGTATAAATAAATTATTTTTTACAATGATGAGTTCCAAAGTATGAGATGATTTTTATTCAAGTGACATCATCTCTAAACACGTATATCTTGATATCCAAAATTTAATAACTTATTGCTATGGAGTTACATCATTTTTAAATGCCAGCTATACAAAACTTTAAAAACCTATGCAACATATGACTGGTCAAGGAAGATTGGGGAACAGGCGCCGAGGATATGTCCCATTTGAAGTAGGAAATTCAAATTTATTTCAAAACACTTCACATAGTAATTGTTTCTGACATGTGAAAGATTTTAAAATCTCGTTACGTAACTCTTCAATAAAATGTTGTGGTACTCAGAGTGGTTTCATACCGAAACAGAAAAGATGGTTTAAAATTGAACTGTTAGAAATCTTAAGCAACTCTGACAGTATCGCTATTAAGAAACTTGTTTAATTAATATATATATATATATATATATATATATATATATATATTACACATATTCAAAATTACCGACTGAATGTACCCGAGCAATCCTTTAATTCTTAACAGCTTGTCTGTCAAAGCTAGCTTATTATTCAAATTACTAATCAACTATTTTATTTCACAGTCACTATAGGATTGTAGAGATTGTTAAGCTTCGTCGAAACCATGGATTGATCAATGCTAGACCACCGTTAAACACCTGGAAGCACAGGATAGCTGTTCCGTCCTAGTACAAGACTCCTCAACAGTGCACATCTGCGACCCTGCTAGCGAGAATCGAACCAAGGACCTTGGGTTTTGCGTGTGGACGCTCATTCTCCTCACCATTAAACCGACATCCAACGGTGTTAACGTCTAGTTTCAATCAGTTTATGATATTGAGCGACTTCATTGATTGTCTTTGATGAGTAATTGCCTCACACCCGACACGGTTGAACTCTATTGGTCACAGCTTCTTTCTAAAACTAGGGGAACCCATGATAATTATGAATGCGGGGTTGTGCACATTTCTGGATCTCATTGAACTCTTATTTAAATTTATTCTTAAATTATTTGAATCATCAGTTCATTTTTAGTTCAGTTGACAAAATACCCTCGATAATAATAAATAATTCACTGTTATCTGTGTTTAATTAAAAAACTCATAGTTTGAAAAGTTAGTTCCGACAAATCAAAGTGTGAAAACAAAAATTCAACACCATGAATACAATGTATACGGCATTTGTTGCTTCATTAATATTCATGTTTTTTTTTTATTTTTAACAAAGACTGCTACTTACACATTCACATTATCGACTCAGTGTTTTGAATGTTAATCAAAAAAAAATAATTAGGAAATTTTTGATAATATTGATTTTATTGATTGTCAGAAGTACAGTTTAATATTTTTTTTGCTATTTTATGAAATAAACAACGTGTTTATTTGTAACGAACGAAATATAAAATCAATTTATGTGTAAATGTATAATTTTCACACAGTATAAATTTAGAATTATTGACTATTATATATAAAAAGGCATTATATTTCAGTGTTAATTAAAAAAATTTTTAAATAACGTTTAAAAATTAGAAAATTAAACTGTTTGTAAACATTTCGTTGATTTGAATATAATTTACATTTTAAGCTGATAACCGTTGAAAAGTTAAGTTACTGAAACACCAATAAACACCAAACAACATATTTGTTTCAGTTTGAAACTTTCAAATAATGTATACCAAGTATTTCAGATAGAATGATACTTTAAGTTCATAGATATAATAAAGAATGTTCAATTGAAAGTCAATATTAACTTTGAATGTCATTGGTACTTGTACTTCTTAGATTCAGTTTAGTATCTCATGTAAATTTTTTCGAAATGTAGATACATTTTCTTCAATATAAATTTGATATGCTGGCCAATTGATATGCTTGAAACTAATACGAGTTCACCTCACTCGGCAAACGGAGCGAAGTTCAACTATGCAGTGACACGACAGGCTACTCTAATCCGTTTGTTCGTGGCCCGGCTAACTAGATCAAAAAGTCTTGATAAGGCGTAGAGAATGTATTCTACAAGCATCCAGAAAATACGAGGTTGACAAGCAAACAAATTGAGCTTATTCATACATGACGGCAATGTCCTTGGATGAGCCACAAAAATAGTGTACTCAAATAATACATCAACCAATGACAGTCAAGGATTTTCTGAGTGAGAAATGTGAGCTGAAGGTCAACTGGCGTAAAAACATGAAAATTTAAAATTTCAGAATATAAAATTACAAAATTAGGACCTATATCATTGGAGTTATGCGGATCTAACGTCCCCAACAAAATTATTGATATATAATGAATAAGTTTAAAGATAACTCAATCAAACTAGTATTTATTACTGATTATCAATTAATACTATTATAATAACTATTGTTTTTTTAAATATACCTATGGAATAAACAAATATTATAACAATTATTTAATTGTACAAGCTTATTTTCTTGAAAAATTGCTTTGAAATATTTATTTGACTGATCAATATCAAATGACGTCAAATGATTTGATTTGTTTTGAAGGAATATGATAATATGTAATCAATGTACATTCT